CTGTCAAAGTCAAACACCCAAAAATATGATGTCAGAAAAAGTATTACAAATAAATATAAAAATTATATCAATAGATAGAGTTTAACTGCCCGATCACAACGGTGCAAACGAAATTCAATTCGGAGAAAGTTGAACCAAAAAGTGTACCCCAACTGGAACCAAAATTGGTCCCAATCAGGGACACTGTGCGAACGGCGCCTCCCAGCGCACTAAGCTGATTGTGAATCTTCTGATATGCACATATTTTATATACTTTTTAGACATATTTTGAAGGAATTTTGAGTCCCAATTGAATTAATGCTTACATTTTATGTCAATTTTCTGTTTTATTTGGGTAGAGCGATCCTATGATTGGTTTTATATGTTTTGCAGGTATTTTGAGGTCATTTGGACGCATTCTGAACAATTTCAAAAACGAAAAATGAACATGGAAGTTTGGGACCAAAACAAATGGAAGAGATTTGAAGAAAAGAAAGAAATAAATTAAAAAATGAAAAGGTTGGAGCTAGGATTCGAGCATGGACTTCGGGGGGTGTGGAAGTGAAGCTTTGACCATCACGCCACAGCTAATTATTTGGCTTTTCACTGGCGGATAGGAATAATGTTCTATACTGAAATTCGGCCATTGATTGATCACGCGGCACAACTAGCATCCCCATTTCCATGTGCGCTACTGTGCTTGTATTGACTGAAGTGGGACTGTTTGTATATACTCCGTATATACGAATTCATCTATAAAAACTCAACCCTTCTCTTCTTCAAGGAGGTTGGAACCCCCATTTTCTCCCCTCTCTCTATTTCGAAATTTTCTTCCTCCCTCACTAATATCCAACCATTTTCTTCTTCCAAACACATAAAAATCACTCCATCTTCATCATCATCAACACCATTTATTACATTTGGAGCTCAAAAACATATCTTCCATTTTTGTAAGATTTTTATTATTGTAATAAATATTTATTTGTTTAAGCTTCAAACTATGAACTTCTAAATTCCATTGGGGTTAGAAGTTGGTGTAATTAATTGCCCATCTTAATGTTTTAAATATTTTTAACATGGATTGTTGATTTTATTTTTACTTAGATGTTGTATTTAAAAATAAACAAAATTTGTAATGTTTGTGATTTTTAATTAAGGGCCCAATCATAAACATAATTGTTAAAAAGAATTTGAGCTAAAATTGAAATAATCATAAAATAGAACACTTTTTAATTACACCGTAAGCCTTCTCTACTTTTAACCGGGATTGAAGACTTTCGGGTGGACATAATTATTGAGTTGTTTTTTTTACACCATTAAATTGGGTAAACATACAATAAAATAATTATGGTTGTCGTTGTTACTAAATAATTACTCCGGATTTATCATTAGCGTGTTAAAGTCGGAGTAGTTATTATTTAGGTAAACTGCGAGAGCGTCCCTAAATACTTTTCTGCAACCCCACACATTCTATATAAAAATAAATTGACAATCCAACTTTTATAAAAACATTGGACAATTAATTTACCAATTTCTACCCGATTGAAAAGTTGTAGTTTTTGAAACACAACAAACCTTGAGAGAAGAAAATATGAAAAATAAAATAGAGATTTTGGTTTTTCTGGTTTTATAAAATGTTGAAGAAAACATTTGAAAACAAATTTAATTTAATTGAGCGCAGAGAGACTCCAAGCTGTGGGATGAATGTTCCCTAAGAAAAATCAACAATAAAAACGGGCTTCTATACTGCAAATCATCTTCCTACGCTCACCAACCAGTGTCTTCTTCTCCCTCAAATCCACTATATAAAGGGAGCTAAGCATTCTCAATTCTTCACCAAAACATATACTTTCTTCTTCTATTCTGTTGCTCAAAGTAAGGAGAACGCTGTAGTGCTGTCAATTTGGTGAGAGGTCGCCGGAGTTGGGAGTAATTGTCGCCGGAAGTTTCACCGGAAAATATTCAAAACCTTCTTTTACCTTCGAGGTAAGCCTGTTGATATATCTAGTGACTAGAATGTTCGTATAGATCGTTTCTACGTTCATAAACGCTCGTTTTGTTGAGTTTTGTGTTTGACATGTTTGAAGAACCAAGAATCATAAAGTATGAAATTGTTGTTAAAACTACGAATTAATTACTCTAAAATGATCTGTGAACATTGGGCAACATTCCCATATAATTTAATTGAAGCTTGGTAATTAAAAATGATAATGTTAAAAACTGACCAGAGGAAGAAGATGATGAATAGTGCCCCAAAACCGATTATTTATTTACTACAAATCGATTAGAATTTTATTCAGATCAACGGTTCGAAGTCAGTACTAATTGATTATTTAAATTGTAAAAATCGATTATTATGAACTAATTGATTATTTAAATTGTAAAAATCGATTATTATGAATTAATTGATTGTTTAAATTATAAAAATCGATTATTATAAATTAATGGATTATTTAAATTGTAAAAATCGATTTTTAATGAATTAATTGATTATTTCAATTATAAAAATCGATTATTATGAATTAATGGATTATTTAAATTACAAAAATCGATTTTTTATAAATTAAGTGATTATTTTAAATAATTTTTCTTAATTCCAGATCCTGCTACGAAAATGTTTCTAAAAATATGCTCTAAAATCCTATTGTTGATACCAATTAATTATGAAAAATATAAATATGATTTTTTATAATAAAAATGATATTTTAGGCATATAAAACATTATGTGATGCATGACGGTAAGTTATAGTGTTAACACTCAAAACTAGACCGCTATTTGTTATCAATTGTTATGTTAATTGATGATTATGATAAATGAATATTATGGATGATTATGAGTAATGAACCCACTGATTAAAATAAATATTTATGATTGAATCATGAGTAAAATGAATACAATTATAATTATGAAATGATTTGTAGTGTTAAAGGTATCTAGAGGAACTCTAAGATATACACATTTAGAGAATTGATGTTAAAGCTATCTAGAAGACCTCTAGAATAGATCTCATATTAGTATGGATTTGTGAAACATGAATATTCGATGAATTAGATAAAAATGCATAAACGGGATTCGTAGACTAAGCTGAATTACTCGTTTGGGAATGCCCGATCCAATATTGATCAATTGCCATATTGTTGTTGTTGCCTTAACTGACTACAGTTAAGTGTCTGAATTATTTGCCTTAAACTAGTGATAGTTTAAGTGTCTGATTGTCTTAACTGACTACAGTTAAGTGTTCGAAATCGATTGCCTTAAACTAATGATAGTTTAAGTGTCTGATAATTAATTGCCGTTTTAAGAGCATTGTTATGATTTGGCCTTAGACTAAGAATAGCTAAGAGCATTGTTATTATTTGGCCTTAGATTAAGAATAATTTAAGGGTATTGTCGGAATAATATCTGAATTGAATAAAATGTGTTGATATGAACTGAACATTATCAAAACTGTGAATG